AGTAGTCAGATAGTAAGGTACGAGACTAACCCTCCAGCTATTCAAAAACAGCACTGATACTCAAGGGAAGCTCAGATTGAACCTCCACTCTTTGAGTGTGAGTGAGCGTTTAGAATACAAGCGATAGTGTTCATTAAATCAAAGTCAAAATACGAAATTTTTCGGCACACACTCTCTGCAGACAAATACAACAGAAAAGGAATGACGTCCAATAGCTCGAACTTTGCCTTCATTTTTTGGACCCGAGTTCTCACTCCTGATATATATGGAGCTCAATGGCATTAAGCAACTGACCTGGATTAAGTTAAAGTACTTCTGATCATTAAAGTGTAGATTAACCTACGGTGAAAATACTCAGTTACATTCTCTAGTGGGTTAGTAAGTTAGGAATGATTATGATGCGAAAATTAATCTACTGGTTACAGTGCAATGGACTAATATTAATAAACATTAGTAATTAATGTTCTTAAAGCATTTACAAGTTCTTCAAATTGTGATGGGGATAAAATGACAAAGGAAGTGTGTATTTTTTCACGTACTCATTGGCGGTTTGGTACTATTTGACGTAGGATTTTCGGCCAATGATTCTTGCTTCTTTATTTGCTAAACATTTAAAACAAGAAAAACATTGATTCAATAAACATATGAACACAGTCAGTCTGTGCCAATGTAGGTGGTCTGTGGATCGACAGGGAATCAACTACCCGAAAAATACAAGGAGAACTTCGAAGGCCCTTCGCTCGAAACGTCGCAATGCGTCGAAGTTCTCCTTGTATTTTTCAGGTACAGTAGTTGATTCCCTCTTTTTAGCTGTTGAATATGCTCTTTCTAGCTGTGGTGATTTATTTGCATCTCCTTGCCTAGTTTTAAAATTAGTCTATAATGGGAATTGTCTATTACTAATCTCACCTTTCTTTGGTGTCGTCGTTTATCTTTTTCCTCCTTCGATGTCGCTTTGGCTTGAGCTTTTGAATACCTTCGAAACTGACTTAACTATGAACGACAAAATCTAACTTATGCTGAGACCTTCTAGTGTACCAGAAGGCACTGGGTGGGTGGGTGGTTGGGTGGATGTCTTCACTCCCAATGATGGTTGACATCGGAACTGACATACATGATGATGGTCAGTGTGGGTCCAAGTATGATTACTGCAAATAGCCACCTAAAGTTAAAGTCAGACTTACGAGTTTCTGATCATCCCTCAGCCGTTGCTCAATGCCATCCTTGACTTGTTTCAGAGCCTCTTTAAGTTTAGAAGGTATCTGAAGAATATAACCCATTATACATGTACATCAATCTGTGCTCTAGCGAGAGCGAGTTAGTCCGCTCTACCTGTACGTACTGTATCGTAACTACCTTTAATGACATTTTCTCCTCTGGGCCCAATTGTACATCTGCAAAAAATCTGAAAGACAAAGTCCACGTATCAACCACCGGGCCGTAAAACGCATCGTTTTATGTTTGATACCTTATTGAAAATCTACGGATTGGTGAAGACTTTCTTTTTTACACTTACGGAAGTTGAAGAAGTTCACTGACGGTTGGGATATTTCCTTTACATGCATCTGGGGTTAAAATCGAACTTAGTATCGGCTCTAAAGAAATAAAAAACACAGTACAATAAGCTCTCTTTCTCTCTGTGGTAATACTGATGGACCTCTGGGAAAAACAGTTTAGAACTGATAGAGCTATCCAATACAAATAAAGTTAGTTTAGTTTAACAGATGATCACAAGGTAATTTATACTAAAAACTTATAAATACGTTTACCAAGTAATGGCGGGCAGTTTGGTGGTATTTCGTCCGTGGTTGGGGCGCGAAGTTCTTTACCAAAAGTCATTTCATACAAGACATGTCCAAAACAATAAACATCTTGCTGTTCCAAGTTCTGTTGGAGAAGAATTACGCAAACAGATGACGACACTTCAATTTTAAAGAGTCAATCTATCAGTCAATGCACATTCATTAATAATGAATCTTCCTGACCTGAATTTTTTTCAACTCCAGTAAATGATGACGATGAATCGACGGCACACCCAGTAAACCATTTTCGATATCCAGTAACCTTTATGCGCAAAAATAAGATGCATTTTTACAATGGTTGAAAAATCACTATCTGAGGGCAGTTTTATCCACTACACACGTAAAAACGCACAAGTTGTAACAAACCTGCAGCAGACTTGTAGCAATGCTGTTCCAACAACTTGTCATCAGGATGTGTTCGCACTGCTTGTTCCCGGCTTGTTGACAAGTTGATAACTTGCTACAAGGTTGTTGAGCTCAACAGACTTGTTACAAGTTGTTCCAACAACTTGTTATCGTCCTGCAATTCAGCAATCTGTCAACAAGTTGTGAGTGACAACCTTGCAGCAACTTGATAAAATAGCAGCATTGTTACAACTTGTCAACAAGCTTGCTACAAGCCTGTTGCGAACACATCTTGTTGACAAGTTGTGACATTTTTACGTGTGTATGACAAGCACAGACAAAATTTCATTTCATTTTAAAATATATAGGCTACCTAGCAACATTTCCTTCCATGATAATATTTCCAGTGTGCAGGTGACCTGACAGAATGATAACACAAATCACTCAAACATGAGATATATTTAACAAATTAGTAGAAATGAAAACGTTATGATTTTTTCCAAATTTTCAAAATACCATAAGGAAAGCCTTTGTCCTGAAGAGTTTTCAGAGCCTCTAAAATCTGCCGTCCACATCTTCTTATATCTTCTAGTTGCATAGTAACTGGTAATTTTGGATAACAATATTTCTTTAAGTGACCAAGTTTTGGTTTTGCCTAAAGAGGTAAGATCTGTAAATATTACCATTATGGGGTACCATACCAGACAGAACCATACCATAGTACCATACCATAGTACCATACCATACCAGACAAAACCAGACTATGACATCATACCATATCATATACCACACCCGCATAATATACCGTACCATAATATACCATACCATACCAAAGAAAAAGAAGAGGTTGAGCAGAAGAGACTGTACAGATTTAGATTTGCATCTTGCTATTTATAGTCGGGGTCAGCAGCTGGGGTTATAAACATAAACAGCAAGACATGCTTTTGGCACGATGGAACATTTTTAATTGTTTTTAAAAGCCTTTGGCTCTGCAGAGGAGAGATACCACAGCATACATACTATACATTACCATACCACACCATGTATATCATACCATGAACATTGAACACCAACATACATCGTACCATTGCTGTGCACCATTTCACACACATCATACCACACCTACCATACAATACCTACCATACCACATATCATACCACTTCATACCATACCATACCTTACATATAAAATCTTTCAATGTTCCAGACTGTCTAAAATCCCGTACTATAACAGCTCCTTTTTCATGTGCTGTTGCAATGCGGATTGGACAAATGTAAGGATGCTAGATTGTGACAATAAATACCACAGTTAACTTGTAGGTTTACACATGCATTCATCAAATAACAGATGTAGGCAACATAGAGTAGCAATTACTACCAAAATATTTGTGAGCAGTTTCATAGCAGCAGGAAGATCTTTATCCATGGACAAATATAAATCTGGTCCATATTCAACCTAAAAAGATTTTTGTTTAATACACAGATCACATTGTAGCCTAGGTTTTTGTTCCATTTAGCTAATTTATTCATACCCAAGATAAAATTTGACGATCATTTTTCTGTGTGGCACCGGCATACTTGGTGAGAAAATAATGTTTTCTGATTCTCCATCCTAAAAAGAAGCCAATACAATTCAATAAAAAAAAAAGCTTTTGCTTCAAATTATGTTAAAGTGTTTTTAATTGCTGTGAACACTGATCAGTCTATTGCAAAATACTAACTTCTGGTATACTGAATGTCCATATGAATGCAATACTTTTTACCACAAAATACTTCAATACATGATTTATTAAGTTTATTTACCAATATCTGGAAGATTTTCAACTAATTCCCAAGATGGCTCAGATCGATAAAACATTGCGACCTGCTCTGCTGCTTCATCTGATGAAGAGAAAAGGCTTGTATTATTTATAGTTTTAGGTACAACCTATCATTCTTAGTCAGTCACTAAACAAGACGGCAATTACGCACCATCCATGTTTGGCGGGTAGTTTTTTGGATCCATAAATCGTTTGAAACATTCGTGCCTGACAAACATGGGTTCTTGAGCAATTGAGTTGAGATATTGCTGCAGGCCAGTTAGTCTTTCTGCAATAAAAGCGTTGTCCATATTTCCGAACATCTTTTTTGGTGGCAGAGATAACGTGGCACCCGACGTCTATCAAAAACATCACATCATAATATACTTACAACATTCTTGTAGTAAATTAATAATATCCTATTTTTAAAGAGAATGCATAAAATTGATTACTCTATATGTAGTCACCTCAAGCACTTTATTCATTGAATCAAAATCAGTGTATCGATGCAGGACCTGTCATAAAAGACCATCAAAAAATAAATAAAAATTTTGAGTTCAAACTTCCCAATAGACTTGTTCATTATTAACCCAATGAGCAACAGCACTCTCCCTTGACGATTAATTTGTCTGGCGTTTATAGACAGGGTAAAATCATCTAGCCTTAGACAGTAAAATCATCTGGCGTAAGCAAGGGTGGATTTTCATTTTTTTCTAAAGGAGGGGTAGAAAAATTTCTGGTGGGGTGCAATTTTTTCTGGTTAGGCATTAAAGTTAAAGACTTCACACAAAATAGGAGGGGTGAAGCAAAATTTTGGTGGGGTTGAACACTTTATAAGAGGGGTTAGAGAGATTCTAGGAGGGGTTTAACCCCCCTAACCCCCCCCCAGTAAATCGCCCCAAAATAGAGTGCACTATATTTAGTGTGTAATGCATTAAAATGGGTTATAAGTACAATTAATTTTTTTTAAATCTTTAATTATTAACAAATATTATTTTTAACTTCTACCTTCCACTGATTTTCAGGATTTGGCCCTCTCTGCACCTTTATGGAATATTCCTAGAATTAAACCACGATCAATTTCTAAGAAACACATGTATCGATAAATTCTACATCGTTTTATAAGAACGTTTTGGCACATCAGACTCAATCGGTAACATAAAAATACAATTAAGATCTTGTTTAGGGTGTATTAAAATACCAATCAAAGTTGCTAATTACGTCCACAAAAATTAGAGTAAATTCACAAACAGTGCTAGGAAGGAATAAATTATTAAAAAAAACAACGTAGTAAAATTAATATGAAACTTACGACATAGGAGTCATTTTTATCCCGCCCTTCGATGTGACATGTTAATGGGATCGTATCGTCTAGTCTTGATGAAGATTTGCGCTTTTCAAGCAAAGCCATAAAAAGACAGCCTGGAATTTTATCAACAGATTTGGCTTTACAAATGTCTGCAAGACAACAATGTTTCGAGTTTCAAAACTCGAGTTTCCTGTTTTCTGTATTCCGACACCTGATTCGTTCATTTCGTACACGCTGAATGTAAGCCGCTAAAAAAGTCGCTATTTTTCATTCCAGTGACCTATATATGAAACTGGAGCAAACACAAAACTTGGCATTGACATTATTTTTATCATGATGCAATTCTGTCAATTCAACGCCAGATAACGTAAAAGGGTTGGAATATCAAAGCATGAAAGCGTTTTAAAAACATGTCATTTGGAGAAAGAGAAATTTTAAAAACATGTAATTCGGAAAGTGGTGTCAATATATGCAGCCGGTTCAGAAAGCCCCCTAGTTAATTCTAATTAAAATGTAACATTTCATTGTTCTGAACACAAAAGCAATTGTTAATAAATGGAGTCAATAAAAAAGTCACTGTACTGCGCCCACTTTTTTGCGCAATTTTAATTAGCCTGCATAATGAGACCGCCCAAACGTGATCCCTAAAATTGCATGCCCGCGATTTTATTTCATGAGACAATATAAATATCTCTAAACGAAGTGTGATAAATAGCGAGTGTGCAACCGCCGACTTTGGCGGGAATGCTCAGGGACTCGTGTCGAAGTACTTTAAAAAACTCAAAAAAACAAACAAGTCTATTTTCATATCAAAACAAACTTTTAGCATTTAAAACCTTGGCATAAACATGCCGAGAGCTAGTCAAAAGAGGAGTCAAGCTGCCAGCCAAGCTGAGGTATAATATAAATAGTTTTGGTGGAGGTTGCTTGAGTTTTAACGAGGTTTTTCGAGCTGGAATATGTCGCTTTAATTTTGTCATTTTTGTGCAGGAATCGCAAGGCAGCCAGAAACGTGGAAGGAAAAGACGTGATCCTACGGATGATGGGGAAGAAGGCGGTACACAGTCTTCTCAAGCCAAGAATGCACTCAGTAAAAGCGAAATGGATCGAAAGGTTTGTAAAAGTCACAATTTGTTTGCGCATTTTAGTTGCAGAACCCCCCCCCCCCCGGATTGATTCTTAAATAATATTTCTTTGAAGTTCAGAATTAAACATTTGAATGCTTAAACACTATACTCTTGCATGTAATGTCTTGCTGTCTACTCTTGAATGTAATGTCTTGCCGTCTTGTATTCGCTGCACACTTTCCATTACCCTGCGAGCAGAGCCTTATTTTCGTTTCCATAAGAAGACTATGAGTCCATGAAATCATGAAATCAATTCATTTGAAATGAAATCTGCTGTGTTGGTGTAATGTACTCAGGTGAATAAGATGTTTGTGTGATGTTACTCTGAGTGTATATCCACACCGGGCAGGCTTGAAAAATATGCCTGGCCACGGCGGGATTCGAACCTACGACCTTTGGAACACTAGCCCAATGCTCTTCCAACTGAGCTACGCGGTCAGGACGGTTCGAGTATGCGATATTTCGGAACTGAGTCTAGTTCCTTCGATATTAGTGTAATCTAATAATCATGAAATCTGCTGTGTTGGTGTAATGTACTCAGGTGAATAAGATGTTTGTGTGATGTTACTCTGAGTGTATATCCACACCGGGCAGGCTTGAAAAATATGCCTGGCCACGGTGGGATTCGAACCTACGACCTTTGGAACACTAGCCCAATGCTCTTCCAACTGAGCTACGCGGTCAGGACGGTTCGAGTATGCGATATTTCGGAACTGAGTCTAGTTCCTCAGTTGGAAGAGCACAGTTGGAAGAGCATTGGGGGCATATTTTTCAAGCCTGCCCGGTGTGGATATACACTCAGAGTAACATCACACAAACATCATTTGAAATGCTCATGAAATTTGCCATGAATTAACTGCCCCCCTGTTGCAACTTGCAAGCTACACAGGCCCTGCTCCGGCTGCTCGATTTGCTTGCAGCCGAGTAACTGCAAATTATTTTTAGTTAGGGAAAGTACATTTATTATGCCGAGGGGGGCGATGGAGATGTCTTGAAAAAAGCTCATATTTTTACAGGGTCCCTGTTGAGGTTATTTGGTAAATTTTCGATGCCCCCCCCCTCCAAATTTTTAAGATTTTCAATGCTCGTCGTATGCTTTTCTTGTTTTTGGAACTGCTACTTTTTGGCGGGTAAATTACTTCGCAAACCTGGCGCCAAAAAAATTAAAATAAGCTATAGGTGATTTCATGTATCCATTTAGAAGAGCAGATGCCCCATGTTGCTATGATGTTTCAAAGGTGTGTCAATCTTTATGTACTGTAGGTGGCTGATTTTGTGAGATACATGCTATTTATGGATTCAAAGAAAACTCCTGTGAAACGTGCAGGTATTGTAATGTCAGTTGCGGAAATCTTGGTGGGGCAGAGGGGCGGCCGCTCCCCCCCCCCTTCACGGAAAATTGCCGAATTTTCGGACATTTTGACCTAAAAGAGGGTTAAAAACAGTCTTTTCGATTGCAAATGGGGGGTACGTCGGGAATTTGAAAGTTTTGTCGGAAATTTAGGAGGCTTTGCCCCCCCCCCCCCCCCCC